TCAAATACTCACTCTAAGCAATACCTATAACTCAACAGTCACAATGCACGGATCTGTTGTGAAAAACCAAATTTAATTCTAAATAATTTAAATTTTCATTTTTTTCGAAAACCAGATTACTTTTACTTTTTTTGCTTTTATAATGAATCAAAATTTCGATTTTTTGCGCGTCTGTGAAAACTTTTTCAAAAACCAATTGGACAGCACAGCGCAATAGCAATTTCTCTCTTGTTCGTTGTAAAGGGCTCAGTCTCGCCAGCGAAATTAATAAAAGTATTTTAGACAAAACTTAGACAAAATTATCTTAGTAGTTGGACAAAAGTATCTTGGACAGAAATTAGCCAGAGCTAAAATATATTCTATTTTACTACAGGCGCTTACGATAACCAAAACGAAAAAAGTCGATCATAATAAAAGCTGTAGTTATAAATAGCTTACCATTTCTGGCCCATGCATATAGGATATGTGATGGTCCTCGGCAAGTTTCCAGTCCCCGCCACAGGGGCATTGCTTTAGCCGGATAATCACATCCAAACAACAATATATGATGAATGCGATCAGCGTCAGCAAATGGCTCAAAACGCACTAAAAAATGATGACTTGCATCAGGAAATATATATATACTTTGTGGAATAATGGAAAATCCCTTCTTCCCCTTCCGCCCCCGCCCCGGCACCTCCCCCTCCCTCACCTTCAACAAAATAGGAATTTCACATTAATTCCGTTGATGGATATGATTCAGCCTTTTTTCCCACTCTATTCATAATGCAGTAGGTTTGTTCGTCAAACGAGACATATGCAAATGTCATGCATTTGGCTTAAAAGAAAAACGGGACATGTGTAAATGTCATGCGTCCGAACAACTGTCATCATCATTTCAGCTCCGAAGCTGCACCAAACAAAGAATAACTCAAATGGCACATTCAATTAGCATTACAATTGAAGAAATGCGCGAGCAATGCTTTAAAAATTTGGAAAACTGTGAGGAAAAAAGGACGGGCGCGGAGGGGAGGGGGACAATATGTGGATGAGGGGAATAGGAGGAAATCTGAACTGGAATGTTTCGGCAGAGCGCATAATTTTTATCGTAAAAACAAAAAAGCAAAAAAAAAAACTAACCAATGTATCCGGGTTGTATGGCCATACTCACGGCAACATAATCGTCGTCCTGAAAAAAAAAAAAAAAAAGAATAAATAAAGCAAATATTTATCCAAAGAGTTGATCGGCGCCTCTTTTCATTTCTTGCTCTTTGATCTTTTTCCTCCGTAATTCTGGAATGATGTGAATGCGGAGCAAGCAAAAGGAAATACTGCCAGCTGCATAAATAACAGCTTGAAACTATCCACAGTGTAATGGTCGTCCGGTTTTTTTTTTTTTTACAGTCAGAATTAGCAAAATTTTTTGCCTGTGAATCAACGAATTTGCTGTATTTCTCAATAAAAAAAAGCAAAGGAATACCTCCGGAATTGCCCTGGTGGAGGGCATTTCGTTGATGGGACTGTGAGAAGGTTTCTATATTTGAAGATTGCTACTGGTGTGAATCATCT